CCCCCCCCCCCTCCCCCCTTTCCCCTGCGCGCGCGCGCGCGCGTCTCTCCCTCCTCCCTGCTACGGCTGCGGCTCACGTCGTCGCCAAAGAGCGGGTGGAGGGACTGCAGGTCGGCGACCGAGAGCTCGGTCAACGCGCAGCTCCTCTCCTCGGCGAGCTGCACCTGGTGTGCACCGTGCTGCGTCTCATGTACCGCGGCCACTCTCCTGCCTTTGCAGCTCCTCTCGGCGGGCTGCACCGCCCGGCCGGCGACGTGGTGCGTCTCGCGGAAGGGCACGCCCTTGCGCACGAGGTACCTGCCCGCGGGTGGAGCTGTGAGCGGCTGCCCTCACGGGGCACGCCCCTGCGCACGGGAGGCGCTGGTGCGCTGGTGCGCTGGTGCGCTGGTGCGCTGGTGCGCTGGTGCGCTGGTGCGCTGGTGCGCTGGTGCGCTGGTGCGCTGGTGCGCTGGTGCGCTGGTGCGCTGGTGCGCTGGTGCGCTGGTGCGCTGGTGCGGCTACGAGTGCCGCGCTCACTCGGAGAGGTCGGTGGCGAGCATGAACGAGTTGAGCGCGCCTGTCCGCAGCTCGAGGGGTGACCTCGCACCCCTCACGGCTGGCAGGAGCGGGAGAGGAAGCTGTTGCGCGCCGCGCATGCGCGCCGCCGCTGGCTGCAGCGTCGCTAGCACGCCGGAGGTGATCTTGAGGGCGGCTTGCACCGTGTCGAGCGAATCGAAGAGCGCCTGCGCGAGTCACGGACGATGTGGTTCCGACAGTGCACTGGCTGCGCGGCGTCGAGGCTGCGCCGAGCGCCTGCTTGTCCTCCTGCAGGTCCTTGTTGTAGGTGAGCGGCAAGCCCTTGATCATCGCCAGCAGGGCCGTGTGGTGGCCAAGCACGCGGTTCGCCTGGCCGCGGCACGGGGCGGGTGGAGCCCGGTGACCAGGCTCGCGGCCCCCGCCCCTCCGGCGCACTATATACTATGTATATAACGCCTTTCCGCGCAGCAGCTCCTAATTAATTAATTATTAACTATTAATTAATTAGGCGCACGCCTTTCCGCGCAGCAGCTCCGCCGCGTCCGGGTTCTTCTTTTGCGGCATCAGCGACGAGCCGGTCGAGTACGAGTCTCCGCACTTGACGAAGCCGAACTCCTGCGTGGAGAAGACGATGATGTCCTATCGTCAGAGTGCCGTCGTCTCACTGCATCACGGCCTCGCGGCTCCCGCGCCGAGACGACTCTTGCTCCTCGGCGAAGCGAGACAGGTGCGCCATGAGCAGCGTCGCCCAGCCGGAGAGCTCGACCACGAAGTCGCGGTCCGACACCGCGTCCATCGAGTTTGCCTGCAGCCATACTCACGGCAGTGTGATACCAGTGAGGACGCATTGACACCGCGTCCGTCGCCGCTCGCCGTCGGCCGCGCGAAGCCGAGCGCCGAAGCGAGGCTCTCCCGCTCCACCCCGAACGGGTTGCCGGCGAGGGCGCCCGAGCCGAGCGGGCACTCGTTCATCCTCTCCGCCGCCTGCACCAGCCTGCCGTGGTCCCGCCGCCACGCCTAGCGGCATGCGTGCTGCTCTGCTGTCGGTGCCAGTCATTGGCAGCACCGGCCGAGAGCCGAGAGCCCGCCTGCGCGTGGGCGAGCATCCAGTGCGACCAGCGCACCGGCTGCGCCGACTGGAGGTGCGTGTACCCCGGCATGAGCAGGTCCACCTGCCGAGACGAGCTCACTCATTGACTACCTCCATCTCGGCCTTCCTCCGCCACATCTCGGCCGCGCCACATCTCAGCCACATCTCGGCATCGTCTCGGCCACGTCTCGGCTATGCGTCGGCGGCGTCGCCTCTGCGGTGGCGCGCTTGGCGGCGAGTGTGACGAGGCCGGCCAGCTCCGTGGCGAGCTCGGCGCAGACGGAGCGCAGGTGCAGCCGCAGGTCGGTGACCACCTGGTCGTTGCGCGAGCGGCCCGTGTGCACCTTCCCGCCCACCGCGCCGATCAGCTCCGTCAGCCGGCGCTCGTTGGCGGTGTGGATGTCCTCGTCGCCCTCCTTGACGACAAAGGCGCCCGAGGCCCACTCCTCGCGCACCTTGCCCAGCCCCTCGCGGATCTGGCCCGCCTCTGCCGCAGAGAGGACACCCGCTGCCTCGAGGGACGTGGCATACGCGACGCTGCCGGCAATGTCGGCCGACCACATCACGCGGTCGACGTCCAGGGAGTTGTTAAACCGTTCCATGATCGGATCCGTCTTGCCGGTGAAGCGGCCGCCCCAGAGCTTGCTCATCGCTGCGGCTGGGTTGTCGGGGGCCGCGACGGAGCGAGCGTCGGTTACTACCTGTTCTTCTTTTTCGCGGTACGGTAACCGATTTCTTTTTATGCGCTTTGATCCCAATCACGACACATGAGACATGTGTGTGTGACTCGCCTAGTGTGTGTGTGACTCGCCTAGTGTGGAGACGCCGTGTACCGTGGGGCCTTGTTGTCCTAGCACGGGAGTACCCGTGTGGACCGGAGGTAACAGCAGTCGCAGCAGCAGTATGGCTACGGCATGCTTACGGCATGTACCGCCCGACTCCCATGCAGCATGTCCATGTGTTCAGCACAACCACACAGCGTAGGAGAGAGAGAGAGAGAGATTTTTTTCAGCGTGTCTGGTCTCACCCTGGCGGGTCCGTGCGCAGTAGTCTTGGTCTACGACGCGCGTGGCAGACCGCGGGCCCGCCGTGGAACAATGGCCTGGCCGGATTGCAGTCCGGAGCCTGTCTGCAGTACTGATGGACGTCGCTCGCGCGGTGGCGCCCCTGGAAATAGGTCGCGTCGAGCTCGTCAAAGTGGCGCAGCAGCTCATCCCTCTCCGGGGTCCCGTGCGCCGTCGCGTGCGAAGTGGCCGCGTTGACCTGAGCCTGCTTCGCGTAGCCCTTGCGCACAGCGTTGACAAACTGCTCTTGCTGGGTCGGCGCATACTCCCAGAAGCGTGCAATGTCAGCCCATAGCGCGTCGCGCTTTCTATCCGACTCGGCCCTGCTAAACCAGTCCAGGCAGACCGCTTTGCAGGCTGTTTGATCGCGTGTGCACGCCTTCCAGTGCTTGGTCGATGTGCCGACCGTGAAATTGAAGAGAACCATATGCGCCAACAGGCCAGAGCGCAGTGACTGCCGGCCGAGATACTCCACCCAGGTCTCATTGGGCGCAACTGGGACCAGCGGCACGCCGCCGGCTGGACCGCTCCTGCGCGAGAGGGCGATGAACCTACTGAGGTTGCCGCAGCCCTGATTCGACATCGTCTTGTCGATCGGGTGCGGGCACAGCTTCGGGTCGCCTTTGCAATGCGCGATCGGGGGCTTGTCCATGGGGCGATGCGGCCAATACTCTGCCCCGCCCTTGTGGTAAAGATAACCCGACACCATCATCTCATTTGCGGTGCGAAAGCTCCACACCAGCCGCTCACGTCCGGGCGATAGGCTGCGGTTCACGCTGTGAAAAGGGAGCTCGCACTCGGCTTCCGGCGGTCTCTTCTCCCACCACTCCCAGGCCAACGGCGCCTGTGGGCAGTGTGGGCTGCACCAGCCAAACGCGGTGCATGCTTGGGCAGCTACCTCGACCCCGAGATGGATGCCGCACTTGTGGCACGCCCTCCACCGTCGATGAGCCAGAGAGCCACCCGCTGCAAAAGCCGTCGCGGCGGACGCCGTCAATGCAAACGCACGGCGTGGCAGCAGAGGAATTGGCGCTGGTGTCGGTGTCGGAATTGTTGCCGCTGCCACTGCACGTGCGTCGAGCAGCATGGCCCACCCGACCCGCACGAGCTCCTGGCGCGAGCGGCAGCGTCCGCGGGCCTCCTCAGGATAAGTTTCGAGCGGGCCTGGTAAAAGATGAAAATAGGACCCTTTTGGGCGAAACAAGACCAACCTACCTACCTATCTGGGAAGGGGCCAGCCAGTGGCAACAGACCCCCTATCCGGCTGATTCTCGCTGCAACCTTCATGCCACCTCGCGGTCGTCCCACTCTCGTCGTTCACGTTTCTCTCTCTCTCTCTCCTGGCTGGCCCGTCGTCCTCTGCGGACTCATCGCTCTCCTCGGCCTCGTTCTGCGACGCCGCCGCTGCCTGTGCCGACCCCTTGTCTCTCGGCTTCTCTCGCCGGTACTCGCCACGGTCGGTCGGTGCCCTCTGGTAATTCTTGTGCATGGTGCGGAGTGCATTGCCGTTCTTCACGGACGGAGTCGCTTAGGCGGCTCCGGTGGTGAGCCGGTGTGTGTGCCAGTCCGCGCCAGTCCGCGCCCTTGTCGTGCCAGTGTGCTGTGAGAGTTGTGTTTTAAGAATTCTTCAAGGCGCGACGCCATACAGTCACAGTGCCGACAGGGTTCCGGCTCCTAGCCGGATAGGGGGTCTGTTGCCACTGACTCGCGCCAAAACGCCCTACCTACCTACCTACCTATCCCCAGGTCGCGCAGCGAAGCGAAAAAAGATGAAAATAGGGGGTACCTACCTATTGCAGGGCCTTTTGAGGACCCCTTTTGGGCGAAACAAGTGCAACCTACCTACCTATCTGGGAGGGGCGAACCAGCAACACACCCCCTAGGGATCCCCTATTGTGATGTTAGAGGTGGGTTAAGAGGGAGATGCGCGCGAGCTGCGGGACCGCCGGGACGGCGGGCGGGTGATTGCGACTCGCCGCCAGGATCCCTACTGCGGTGGTGTGATGAGTGAATGCACCTGAGCAAAACCTGACGAGGCTGTACCTAGGTGGATCCCTACCCGGGTATCCGGCTGGTTCACGGCTGGGAGCCGGAACCAGCATGGCTTCCCCTCCGCCCATTACCGCCTCGCTGCTGGCGTACACGTTCAATCAAGACGCGACCTGCCTCGCCATTGGCACCGACCGCGGCTACCAGATCTTCACTTGTGAGCCGTGGGCGTCCGCGCACTCATGCTCCGAGGTCCACCCCAATCGCCCCGCAGCGCCGTCCAGGACGGCCGCCACGAGTTCCCTCCGCCTCGTTTGCCAGGGTGGAGTCGGCGTGGTCGAGCTCCTCCACTCCTCGTCGCTCGTCGCACTGGTCGGCGCCGGCACCCGCCCGGGAGAGTCGACGCGGCGGCTCGTGATGCTCAACACCCGGACAAACACCTCCATCTGCGAGCTGAACTTTTCTTCGTCCGTGCTGCGCGTGCGGATGAACGCCTCGCGGCTGCTGGTTGTGCTCGAGACTCGGACGCACATCTTTGAGCTCTCGTCGATGAAGCTGCTGCACACCCTCGAGACGGCACGCCCCGCCTCGCCCCTTTGCAACCGCAGCATCGAAGAATACGTGGTCACGACATCGCACAGGCGCCTAACCGTCTCGGGCTCGCGGACATGTGCGTCGCCGTCGGCCGCTGCCACGCCGTGCTGCCCGCCGCCGCGCCCGGCCAAATCCTCTTCTTCGACGCGCTGCAGCTGCACGCCCTCTCGACGCTGCACGCGCGCAAGTCGGCCCTCGCCGCCCTCGCCATCTCCCCTTGCGGCTCGCGTGTCGCGTCCGCCTCGGAGAAGGGCGCCGCCCGCCCGGCCCAGCACGCTCCTCCCCGCGCCGGGACGGTGATTCCGACCCGCGTCGAGGACCAACTAGGCACCACCGTCTCGGTGCACTCCTTCCCGCAGGGCGAGCTGCTCCACGCCTTCCGCCGAGGAGCCATCCCCGCCTCCATCTACCACCTCGCTTTCTCCTCCTGCCTCCCGCCCCACGACGGCGCCGCCTCGGGCGCGGGCGCGGCGGCGGCGACGGCGCAGGTCTGGCGCTGCTCTCGAGCTGCGATGCCGATATCCGGGCTTTAGCAAGCGGAGGTTGATGGCTCACCAGGCGGCCGCGGCGCTGCTCTCGAGCTCTGCGATGCTTTGCGCCGTCTCCTCCTCGGGCGACGGAGCACGCCTGCGGAGCCCGGCACGTGAAGCTGTCGTGGTGACGGGGAGCTTCTTCCCTCCAGGCACGGTGCACGTCTGGAGCCTCGACGCACAGAGAGGCGCCGTTCTCGGCCTGTTGGCGGAGGCTGTGAAGAGCGTCTCTCCGCACCGCCTCGATGAAGTGAACAGGCGCGGTCGGCGGGCGGGCAGTTGGCGGCGGTGGCGGCCTGACAGGAGGAAGCTTCTCACTGCTGTCGCCGTCTTCGCTGCTGGCGGGCGAGCGAGCCTTCGCGCAGGCGAGCTGCTGTCCTCCCTCGCTCCTTCCCTCTCCCTCTCCCTCTCCCTCTCCCTCCCTCAGCTCGCACCCCTTCCCGGTTTTGCGCAGGCCAAGCTGCCGCCGCTCACCCGCGCCGTGGCCGCGCTGCGCCCGTCCATTTCCGACGCCAACGAGATGACGATGCTGGTGCTCACGGAGCGAGGCATCTTCTACTCTTTCCGGCTCGACGCGCTGCGGGGCGGAGACGGTGTGCTGCAGGACGAGCGGCGTGTTGGATTGGTGGACAGCTAAGAACATGGCAGCCTACACTGAAAGGGGCAGCGGAATTACCGGGAGTCGTACAAAGTCGTCAGTCGAAGAAGCGGGCGCGCCGCGTTGGTGTATGCGCTCTGGGGCTGTATTGCTGGGGCTTGGTCATCGACACCGCCGCTCTTTCGAGTTTCGCGGTGCGCCTTGAGAAGGGCCTTGTGCCATCCGGTAAGAAATTACG